ATCATAATGATGTCAACTTATTTAATACTTTAACTTATGAATGGAATAAGTTAATATCAAGCAGCGATATTGTAATGAAGAGAGGGTATGGTGGTATGGTGTATATGGAGTCAATGGGTACAGAATACCTCCTAGTAATAGGAGGACATGGCTCTACACCCACTACATACCAATCACAGTATCAATATGATCAGCTGGTTAATGGCTGGGTTCGTACTAATGAACATAATTTATTGAATTTATCAACAAGTAAGATCCAGCTCTAAATCATAATACATTCCATTAACTACTTGTGTAATATAAAGTATTTTAATGTGTTTCTCTATTTCTACTAGTCTATGCTACAATATGATAATCTTTCTCTTTTAGGACAGTGGATTATTCCAACTATTAGTGGACAGTGTTGTCCTCCTACTTCTTCCTTTACTCTTACAAAGATCAGTAATAATAAATCTATCTTGTTTGGTGGAGCAGTGACTGATGATGAACGATATAATTTATCTGTTAATAATGTTTATACATGTCAACTTGAATCTGATACTACAATAGTAAGTTACTTTGATAATTATTAATGAATAATTGTACACGTACATGTACATGTAGGTACCGTATACCGGTTTATTATTGTGATAGAAAATTTTAGCGAATCTTGCATTTCTAAAATTTTGCAGAATTTATTTTTGCTAATAGCTTGCTGACTACACCACATGGCAATGGGAATGCAGAATTTTGTGGTAGAAAAATTTCAGGACTGAGCAAGAAGCTGCAAAATTTGCGAAAATATTTCACCACGAAAATATAATAAACCTATATATGGTATTGTTTATTGGATGATAATTATTAGCAATTAGTGGTTTTGTGAAGAAATTGTCAATACACATGTAAAATTCATCTTTTTGTTTCAGTCTGACTATTATCTAAGCGTGCTCAATGACAATTGGCACAAAATTGCCAATATAAAATTTCACAAGTTAATATTTTATTTTTTTGATTTTTTTAGTAATTTGTGTTGTTATTGCATTTTTTTGTGCGTCAGTCATTAACTATCAATTGCATCAAGAGTGGATAATTATTTAGGGAGAGTGTCTAACGTGCCTATATTCTGTGATACCACAGTGCATATGTTTTAGCATGGTGATTAGCACCAACTAGCCATTCTTGTGTCCTTATATTGATTCCAAGTCAGAAAGCTGTAAATA